CGAACAAACACATTTATTTTTAACAATGTAATTAATTTTAATTATTGTAATTATCTTAGCATAATCATAGAAGCATTATATTTCTTGAAGCAAGCACTAAGTAGAAAAAATGGAAGAGATATTCAAAGTCAGTTTAGAATTAAAAAAAAAATTCCAAAATTTAATTAGTGAGGACATTTATGATGATCACAACATATATTAGAAAATAATAATTGATTTATTTTTCTTAATACATTTATTCATTATAAAACATTCGGTCCACTACATGAATGTCAAGTTGCTCTATTTTAAGAATATTTTATTTTTATCTTTATATGTATAAGATTGTTTGAATGGATTTGAAGTCCGTCCAAGCACCAAGCTCTTAAGAAAATTATTAAATCTAAGTATGTTTAGCTTTCTTATTATTTTATTTTTCAGACAATAATTATAATAGCTTTCTTGCTGCTTTTTCATTGATTTTTAAAAATTTTTATGATGAAAAGCTGATTTTAAGTTGTTTTTCCCCCCAACAACTTTACAAACAACTTTATAAAACATAGTAGTCATCTCAAATAAACCCTTAGGCTTCATTTGAGATAATTTTTTTGCTGCTTTTCAAAGCAGCTTTCTAGTAAAAAAAGAAAATTATTATATTAAAAAACTGTTTTGCTTTGAGAAGCAATAAGAAAGCTGTCCCAAACGGAGCTTATTCTAAAATTATTTTTAATTATTATGTTATTTAAAAACTTATTTTGACCGTATTACTAAAGCCTAATTTTACAAAATTATCAATTGATAGTTTGAATTTTTGTGAATAGTTTTTCCATCATTTCTAATTAGTGATTGCTTCAAGAAATCTAATGCTTCTATAATTCTGTAAGGTCATCTCCAATAGAACTCCAAATGCTTGAATGCCGTCTCCTCCGAGCTCTAGCCGAACGGTGAAACTTCCGCTATTTCCATGCGGATGAACAGTAGGACGTCAATATTGACGTTGAACTGTTCATCATCGCTAACAAGAAGCACGCGAAAGAAAAAAAGATCGTTACCTTCTCAAAAAGGAGTTCCATTGGAGATGAATCGCGGCATTTTAAGTTTCACGGTATTTTGGAGTGAAAAATGCAATTTTCCGTTGGAGATGATCTAATAGAAGTAATTAATGGCGTGAAATAAGCTTACCAAGCTCTTTCAGTAAGAACTCGAGGGCCTTCCCTTTGTCCCACTCAATGCTGGGACGAATCTCCAATACCTATTGAGTTTAAAAAAAGAAAAGAAAAAATTCATAGTCATGATTATAATACTCTAAATATAATTAATTTTCGTTTAATCCCTTACCATTATGGATTAAGGGCTTAATTACCATTTAAAATTTAATTTTATTAAAAAAATCAAATCAGTTTTGTGAATTATGTCAATGTCAGTCGATGTAATTTTTGTTTTATCCCTTTAATTAATGCATTTCCTTATTCATCATTAACCTACTTTTAATGAGAAAAAAAAAAGGAATGATAACAACTTTTTAAGCAGCATAATTAATATGTCACTTCACCATGTTAAGAAGAAATTAGCTTAATACCTTTCTTCCCTGTGTTAATTTTAAGTCTGGAAATGCTGCTAGCACTGATCGAACTTCCTCAGCAAGGCCATTCCAAATCTGACAGAAATAGTTAAAATTTTACCAGTTATTCAAAAATGAAAAGGAGCCCACTTTGCTTGAGCAGTAAAGCCTCTTAAGTGGGGCTCAATCAAGTGCGGGTCATGAGCTTTTAGGGGTGGGTGTTTTTTCTAGGTCAGCCGCGGGTTAGTCACGCCGCCATACACCCTTTTAAAGGTGGCAGCTGGTGGACACCTTCTTCAAAAAAAAAAAAAAAACGAAAAGGAAGCTAAGCTTATAAGCATTGAACTTGTTCAAAGAACTGCACCTTTTCATCAACACAGCGAAAATGAACTGATAAGCAGAATCTGTTGTTCTCCACCTTAGCTCCAGGAAACACTTTTGTTTTCTCCACAAGTACATTATAAGCCTTTTTTTATAGCAGAAATATAAGTAATATGATATAAAATTATGAACTTAGTTTTTGATAAAAGTTTGGTGAGACTTACTTCATTAATCACAGGTAGAAAAGCACTGGCTGGTTGACAAAGCACAGCCTTTGCCTGAACAAAAACCAAGTTAAGAAGATAGAAAATTTATTAAAATGTTGATATGAAGAAGATGAACTCCCACCAACCTGAGCGTTTGTATGTTTGGGCCACTTTGTGGGTCCTTTGATATCCATGCCATGGCTTCCAGCATAGTACAACTCTGCTAATTGCACAAAGCTGAACACCTACACAGCAATAAAATAATATGCGAACCTCAATAAGAATGGTTGATTCGGAGGGGTAACAGAAAACGAACAGGAATTCATTCAACGATATACCTTATCTCTACACCTTCCGGTCACAATAGCAGTCGGAAAATACTTTGCTATACTCTTAACCGCTTCTCGCATCTGAATCAAAACAAAGCCAAAATCCCAAAAAGACAAACTTTGTTACAGAGGATAAATTTTTGAAAGAAAACAGAGGAAGAGCTTAGAAGTTTGTAAGAAGCTCACGGAATCAGACATGAAGGCTGAGTCAGGATCATCAACGATGGGGGACAGAGTACCGTCATAATCGAGAAACATTGCTATCTTCTTTCCCTTAGCCGCTGTAGTTATCTCGTCGAACCTGCTCAGCGCCGATGGGAGCCTTTTCTGTTTCAAATTCCTATAAAGGTGAGAACTTAACTGTATAAAAAAAAGGAAAGATTTTGATAAAGGAAAGCAGAATGCTTACGTTCCAATCGCTTTCGTCGCTTTCAGAATGGGCGTTGGGTAGGAAGGGGACCGACCTTACGTGAGTCGGAGAAGAGGCTTTGATTGTTTCCATCCAAGAGGAGCTCCTTCCTCCATTTCCATGGAGTTCGAGATGGGTTAGAATATTCTTATAGTTGGCTGAAGAGGAACACCGAGGTGGCGGAAAGGAGCCGGGTTGCGGTGGTGATGGTGTCGAGGTTGCCGGAGGCAGGGCAGGGACAGGGACAAGCATCTCTTCTGGAACGACGATGCTTAGCTTAGTCATAGCTATGGGGAAGAAGAAAGAAGGGAGAAGGGGGTGGAGATTGGAGAAGAAACACAGAAAAACAGAGGAATTGCTTCGCTTCTTCTCAGTAATGAGGAGAGGAAAGTTCAGGGCAGTATTTATAGTTGGGCTTCAACAGAAAGTGATGGAACCAGATGCCACGTCAGCAGAGACCTACGTTTTCGAGTTAAATAATTGGACCACATAAGGGCCCGCCCGCCCATACGGGGCTTAGGCATCACGTGGGGACATGAAGACCTGAAGAGAAAATAGAATCATCGCTATGGTAAAAATAAAAAGGAAAAAAAAATGACAAAAAAATTAAATTTTAAATTGTTTTGTATCATAATTATAATAATTTTTTGGAGAAAAATAAAATTTATTTTATACTTTTAAAATAGTATGCCAAATTATAAATTTAATTTAAGAAGAATTTAAATCGGATTTTTATAATAGTTTTAATTTTTTTATTAACTAAATAAGCAGATTGTATTTTTACTAAGTATTTTTTGTAAAGCATTTATTTATGCTATTCTATTTTTTTAGAACTAGGCTGATTATAAGGATAGCTAATATTTTCAATGATGTTATTATTTTGAAAGCTGAGCTTATATAGTTGATACGTCAATAAGCAGATTGTATTTTTACTAAGTATTTTTTGTAAAGCATTTATTTATGCTATTCTATTTTTTTAGAACTAGGCTGATTATAAGGATAGCTAATATTTTCAATGATGTTATTATTTTGAAAGCTGAGCTTAAATAGTCTACCTTAATTTATTAGTTGAGAGTTTAAGCTTTTAATCAAGAAGTTTTCGGCTCGAAACTTATACACATTAAGGTTTCGTTCAATATGTTTTGTCTTCGAACGGTTTTTTAAGTTTGAGGCATACTGTTTGTTTTTTGTTACCATTATGAATTAGCCCAATACACATTAAGGTTTCGTTTGGGACCGCTTTTTTACTACATATTGAAGTAGCTTTTTAGTAAAAAAAAAATATTTTTTATTAAAAAATTGCTTTAAAAAGCAATAAAAAGTCGTCCCAAACCAAATCTAAATATTAGAATTTGGGTTTGATAAGTAATTGATCTAATTTAATTTTCTCACATCATCATGAGAGTCATAAGCTATTCAATATTAAAAAATAAAAATTAATTTGAGCATGATTGAAGGTTTAAGCTTACATACCAACATTGTATAATCTCAAATATTTATGCGATTAAGCAAAACACTCTCATAAAATGATCAGTGAAAATCATTTTAAATATTTTTATTAAATAAATAAGCTAATTGTATTTTAATTAAGTATTATTATTATTTTGTTGAGCATTTATTTAGGCTTTTTTTTTAGAACTAGGTGGATTGGTACTTACAGAGTCTATTATTTGAGAGCTTAGGATCTGTCTGAGATAGCTCTCTCACTGCTTTGTTTGTTAGATCATAATCATAGTTTCATTTGGCGGCTATTGAGATGCTAATATGTGATAGATTCGATAAAATAGCTGTTTGATTTTCTTAAAACAATATATTTAAAATATCTATAATATTATTTGGGACGACTTTTTTATTGCTTTCTAAAGCAGTTTATTTCAATAAATTTTTTTAGTTTATAATTTTTTTACTAAAAAACTCCTTTAGAATTAATCATCCCTTTGTGATTGTTGCGGGCTAGAATATACGCGGCGATAGAGTTATAATTCTACGTCTTATTGTTGCTCGGATTACATGGATAGATTTTGTACTGCTTTTTAAAATGAATTTTAAATACAAAATTTTTAAATTAAAAAAGTTTTAATACTAAATTTTTGTTTTAAAAGTAAGAAGAAGCCGTCTTTTTTTTAATAAAGGTTAGGCGTCCGTGAGGCCGGTGATTCTTTTTTTCTTTCATAAACGAATCTACAAAATGAATTCATTTTGTTAAATTATTATTGTTTACTAATGTTAGGTATTTCATTTTTGCAGAAAGGCATTTGAGGACCATTGCAAAGTGTAGACTTTCCTAAACCGGAAGCTCTGAACCGCAGGCAGCCAGGCTGGCCAAGCCAATAGCCGAATTGTTTTTCAGACTTTCAATAAAAGTTATTAAAATTATTTTAATAATGAAAATTAAAAAAAAAAAAAGGTTAGAATATCGTGATCAAAATTTTATTTAGTAGAAGTTTTAATATTTTTAATGAAAATTTACATACATACTGTTTTATACCATACTATTTACATATCTAACATCTAAAATTTTAATATTACATACATACCACTGCATATTATTTTAATATCAAATATATCACTCATATTTTCTTCCTATCACTCATATATTTCATTTCTACCACTCATATTTTATATGAAAACAAACTATGGACGATATGTATGTAATATTAAAGTTTTATGTATTAAATATGTAAATAGAGTATCATATAGTGGTATGTATGCAAATCTTCCTATTTTTCTAATATGTATTAAAATCAATATAATAAACAGATATCACTCAAATCTTAAAGTAGATCTAAGAATTTTGGTCACTCCCCTGATTTTTTTTTTCTTTACTAGATTCTACAACCCCGTTAGCCTTATCCCCTCGAGTTGAATTTAACACGTTACCAAGGAACTATGCTGCCCATAAGGAGAAATTATTCTCTTATTACTGACAGACAACAAATTATTTTATTTCAATCATATATGATTTTCTAATACAACTTATTCCCTATTTATAAGCACATTTTATTACATAATTTCATGAAGAAAAAGAAAGGCCCAAAATCTTAAATATTTGATTGTGTAATGGATTGTCACTTTGTTTAATTGAAGATATCCTTAATTGCAAAACATCCAAAACTTTCTTTGTTGCATTGAAGCCTTTAAAGGAAAATGGAGTGTACATCCATTATTATTTCCTTGCTTAAAATTTAATCCATCCCCCATTAGAAAAAGAGTATATAATTATCATATTTTTCATAATAATTACTTTTATAATAATCAATATATTCTTTAATTACTTTACTCTTAATTGAAATTATTGATGTCATTCTTTTTATAAAATAAATAGTATTTATTTCCTAATTTGTATATTAAAATTAAATTTTAAAGTCTTTCTAAATATAAATGATAATCAAGATAGCAATCAGCAATCAGCTTCTTTACAAATATAAGTGATAATAAAGATAAATTTGAAAGGAAGTCAAAACTAAATTTATTAAACAAATAAGAAAAAAAATATTATTTCTTTTCATGGAAAGAATGTGCCATCTTTAATTTCAATTAAGAGTAGAATAATAAAAGAAGATATTTATTATTATAAAAGTAATTAATATTACACATATTCACTTTATTTTTAATGGGATGGATGAAATTTTAATCAAGGAAATATGAATTGATATACACTTCATTTTCCATTGAATCCCCAAAGCAAGGAAATTTTTTTTTTGGATGCTTTACAATTAAGGATATCTTCAATTAAATAAGGTTGAAATCAATTATGCAATCAAACTTTTGAAGATTTTTGACGTTTATATTTTCTCTCCATAACATTGTTAAATTATTAATGCTTTTTTTTTAAAATAAAACTAAAGCTAGTTATTTTTTGGGACATATCAAATGCAAAGCATAATACCCCAAATTTAGAAAATGACCTCAAAAGATAAAGAGCCAAAAAAGATCAAGATGCAAGATTGACTCAGTAAATTGCATGATTCATCCTACATTCGATATCTAGACAGGACCATCCATTGGAGGCAACAATCTAGTCCAAAGATAACCTCGAGAGCAACAAGCATCATCTCACATCTAAAAGAAGAGCCACCAAAGTCTTACCAAAATAAGAGATTCCACCACCAAGGTTGCCAGCCAGCCAAGATCATCTAGGTGTCGAGCAGGGCCTGCCCCATCATTGTCTATTTTGCCTGAAGCAAACCAAAAGCACAAAAAATTATCCACAATTGCAAATCCATGACATCCAATAGAGATAAGAAACCACCATAAAAAAACAAAAACTCACAAGGCCACACCATAAAATAGAAAAAGCCATAATGCCACACCGTGCAAAGCCAAAGGCACACGACAAAGAAGAGAAAGCTACTTCCTTTCGTGTATGAAAACAAAGAGCACTACCCACAACAGTCCAAAGGAAGAAGCTTGTCCCAGCCAAGTTGACCCCAACAGTAGATGGTAGGCCAAATCCAAAACGAATATTCATTTCTTTTTGGATTTACATTTTCTATGCTTACCAATATTTTTGAAAAAATCAACATCAGCAGTTTGAGGAATACTTAAATCAAAAGTGTCTCGAGAATCCAAATCTTTCTCATTAATTTACTCTTCGCCTGCTGAAGAATTGCCATCATCTAACTAGTCATCATGCTTCAACACTTTATCGCTAGCAAGATGAGCTAACGAAGCATCACTGAAAATAACAGATATATGCACATCAACTAGAGGCACGACAACTTCATCATTACCCTCATTAACCAACATAATGTGAATTGGTGAAGTAAGCATCCCAGAAGCCACATTATCCAAATTAACCAGCTTTACTGAAGCTCCACCACCCCTAGAAACTAACGAAACATAATTATCACTCGAATCCTCCACATCTTCAGCACAAATAAGACTAGCTATAAGGTTAATGCAACAATTATTGGCATTTAGGTTAACATCAACACCTTATACACCATCTCTATTAGTACAATTGATATTCACAGAATTAATAGTATCTAGAGGAGCAACTTCCTCCTCAACATAAACAGGATCTCCCAAAGGTAAAACTGATGTCAATTGACCAACAAATTCCACCGAATTGAAGGACCAGCATCATTCCCATCAACAATATCAGTAGGACCCAACTTTAGAGTCAAATCATTGGCAACACAAGAAATAACATTAACCATTATATCCCCCTCACACTTAACAATAAAACTTGTTGGTTTAGAGGCAACAGGAAAAGCAGTAGGCGGGGCAAAAAGACAGATGAGGCTGGTAATCGCTACTCAAATGCCCTATACATTTACATGAAGCATAAAAGGATGGTAAATCCTTCATAACAACTTGCTGAATATAACCTAGTTTCTCAAGACCCAACCTCACT